CATCCTTGCTTCTAAGGAGCATTCTGGCTGGCCTTTTTCTAAGACAGATTTGTTTGTTTTGGCAGTCCATGGGATATTCACTATAGTTTGCCAACACTGTAATCCAAAGACGTCAATTCTTTGGTCTTCCATTGTCCAGCTTTCACATGCCTGTTATGTGATTGCAAATACCATGGCTTGGGTCAGGTGCACTTCATTCCTCAAAGTGACATCTTTGCTCTTTAACACTTTAAAGAGATCTTCTGCAGATTTGCCCAATGCAATACGCCTTTTGATTTGATTGCTGCTATAGGCGTTGATTGTGGATCCAACCAAGTAAAATCTTTGACACCATCAGTCTTTTCTCCGTGTATCATGATGTTGCTTATTGATCCAGTTGTGAGGATTTTTATTTTCTTTATGTTGAGGTGTAATCCATACAAAAAGCTGCTGTCTTTGACCTTTAACAGTAAATGCTTCAAGTCGTCTTCACTACTCCATAGCATCCAAGCATTTACCAGTTTAATAACTTGTGACAGCTGCCATTCAAAATTACTCATTCTTTTTATGACATCAAATTCAGGTTGATGTCCCTTGTAGAGATGGAATGTGTTTCTGTACTCAAGTTTGTATAATCCTGATGAAGCGTGAGGGGGGCAGTCTTACTTGAGTTTTTAATTGTTTAGCACTGGTATCACTACCTTTTGAAGTTGAGGACACTCAGCTGAAATTTAAGTTGACAGACTACAGTTTCACATCTTTAAATGAAACAGCCTATTTTTCAGAGAAAATCATACATGGAATCTTAGGCCATGAGAGCTCTGGCTGAAGCAGGTATGGGATATGGGCTCCCTGGCAGGCCCCTTGTAACTAGAAATTCTTTACAAACTAATGATGTAGCACAAAGTTCTACAGTGAAAGGTGAGCTCCTTAGGGCAGCAATCTTGTTCAATGCTGTATTTCCAGTAGTAGACGATGAATGAAACAGATTTGCCTAGTTTGAACCAGTTCAGTCACAGCTGATGCTGTGAAATGGGAACAGACTCAAATCGAAAACGTGGGTATACCAGAGCGACAATTGTGACAGGAAGAATTACAGGTCAAAGCCCTGGGGTGGGAGATGTAGAAGAGATGTCAAGAGCCCTTTCAGGAGCCTGTTGTGGGAGATTGGATTATTGCCAGGATGGTGGAGAGCGACACATTGAACGTGGTGTGGTGGCCTGTGAGCCGGGCACCATTGTTTCCCACCGCTGGCCAAGAGATTTGGTTGCTTGTGACACACACCCTGACCTTACTTTCTAGAACGGAGATTAAGTTTGTAGCACAGCATTGATCTGTAGTTTTCCTTCCAGTATACCCACATTTTACAGCTTCAGGTCCCTTTTGATTTCGTTTCCTCAGGCATGAATAAATGGGGAAGAGCCAGTTCAAAACCCTGGTTTGAATCAGGCCATGCTTGTAACGTTTTCTAATAAGTAATTTCATTCTAATCCTGCAGTCATGGTGATAGGGCCAAATGGTGAGACTTCTTCTTAAAAGAGTTACATCCTTGGTACCAAAAAAAAAAAAAAAAACCCCACAACCTACTGCCATCAAGTCAATTCCGACTCATAGTGACCCCCTTTTGGGTTTCCGAGGCAGTAAATCTGTGGAGGTGGATTGTCCAGTCTTCCTTCCGCAGAGTGGCTGGTGGATTTGAACTGCCAACCTTTTGGTCAGCAGTCAGATGCCTTAGGCACTATACCACCAGAGCTGCTGTATGTCCTTGGTATAGTAGCTCATCAAAGGCTGGTACCCTGGGGTAGTCAAGCCTGTAGTGGTTTCATTTTTGAACTGTTGCTTAACTTTGGCCATATTGCAGGGAAAATCAGTTTTGCCTACATATTTAGCATGTTCTAAGGGGAGCTCTGGTGGCGTAGTGCCTAAGGCATTTGACTGCTAACCAGAAGGCTGGTGGTTCAAATCCACCAGCCACTCTTTGGAAGGAAGGGCGGGCTATCTACTTCCGTAGTAATGCTGCCTCGGAAACCCAAGAAGGGGTCGCTATAAGTTGGGTCCAATTTGGTGGCAAATAACAACATATGGTCACTGTGAGTCGGAATCAATGGTAACAGGTGTGTTGTTTTCAATATCGACACAGAGTGCCCTGGTGGTGCAATAGTTAAGTGTTTAGCTGCAAATCAAAAAGTTGACAATTTGGATCCACCCACTGGCTCAGAGGGAGGCAGACTTAGTGATCTGCTTCCATGATTACAGCCTGGGAGACCTGATGAGGCAGTTCAGCTGTCACCTGGGGTCACTATGATTTGAGAAGTGACTCAACAGGACCTAACAATATTAGCACATGGGGTCGCCATGAGTTGGAATCAATGCCTTGGCAACTGGTAGTAAATATATTGTTGGCGCTCAGACCAGAAAGCTATTCTAGTCAGTGGAGGGTTAAAAAGGCGGTGCTTGTAGACCACCTCTGAAGCACTGCACCTGCTGAGGAAGATGTAGGCAAATAGGATCTATGGGGACTATTGAGGCGACAGGAGTTAGAACGGACAGAGAAAATGATGCACAGTGGAAAACTGAAGGACAAGGGTGAAGGCACTGCCTCGGAAGTTGGAGGAAATGGTGCAGAACTTGGCATTTGTGACCCCGGCAGTCTAGCACACAATACATGATGATGATGTGGGTAAAAGGACGTCATGAGACAGAGTTGGCCTCTTTGCCTTGCCAAGCCTTGCCATGGTGTTTTCTGGAAGACCCTCGTGCTTCCTCCTGACCAAGGGGCCTATGCTAGGGGGCAGGGGATCTTTGCAGTGACCTGTGTGTACAGTGAGGGCACCTGTATACACATGCACAGGTGGTCGTCTTGGGTTACAAAGGAACAGCCTCCGTTTGGTCAAAAGTAGCTTTATTTTTCAGTTTTACTTCATCAGAACGGGGTGACAAACTGGCCCACACAAAAAGAAGAGTGATAGCAGGACTAAAGAAAGAAAATGCCTCCAACCAAGCGGCAGGAAGATGGAAGTAACAAAGATAAAGAAGCTACATAAAAATGAGTTCAAATGTTAGTTCTGCCATGACCCGTGTGACTGGATGTCCCTCCTCCTCTCTGAGCCTGTTTTCTCAGAGTTTGTCTTTAAGATTTCACATTAACACGCTCATTCTGAGCCTTCTGTCAGCACCGTACCCCATGCCACACAGTGGCCATGTGGGAGACTACTGGTACTGGCTGAGGAGAGAAGGGCACAGTGGTTGAGATGCTGAAGACTTGGTGTTGGCTCACTGGAGCCCCACTGGGGTTGCAGTCTGCAACCCAAGGTCAAATGGCTTGAGCAGGCTGGTGACCCCAGTCTTAGGTGACAGGGAACAGAGATGGGGAGGGATCAGCACTGGGTCTGGAGTGAGGAGCCTACTGAAAATAGAACTTCAATTCTAGTCATCACTTCTCTACCCAGTTTGTTTTAAACTGTTTCTCTAATTGGCAGTTCTCAATCTGCCCAAATGGAAAAAGATTTGAACCCTCCAACCTGTACTCCCCCCAGTGCTCTTCCTCCCTCGTCTGTTTTGGCAGGTCCCTAAGAAATGGGCAGCCTCTCCACAGAAGCCTTTAACCCCATCCAAACATGCCCTTAGGACCTCATCTTCCCTATTGTCTGCTAGACCCTTCCAGAACTAAATGTGCAATCTTTTGGGGCTCTTCTTCCTTCCAGTTTGAGGTTCTCCTTTCCCAGTGGGCACAGTGCTCAGCATAGTTTGAGTGGATGCTGCTAAGCGGCTGAAGACACAGTTCCTTCACCTGGATCTAGAGGCTGTAGGTCTGGTGGGAGGAGGCCAGACTCCTACATTCACTCTCGAGAGTGTATGCTTTGTAAGAGATTAGCCTAATTTCTCACCTGGTCACCAGTAAAGTAAAATGCTCGAAACAGAACAGATAGAGTAAAATGTTGAACTATAGCACTGGTGATCCCAGAGTTTCCGTTTTTGAGCTTCCTGTGTTTCTGGTTTGGAACTATGAAGTGATTGTGTTTAACCCACTGCCCCTTCTCAAAAGCATCGTGCTAACGTTAATTAGGTCTAGGCCATTTCTGCCTTTATTACTGAAACCTGTGTTTCACCGGTCACCTGTGTGCTGACTGTTTGGTTACCCTTGGAATTACATGTGGGGAAGCAAAGGGAGACTGTTGGGAGCCCTGCTTGTTTCTAGAGGGAAAAAGAGTTAGCTTCCCATCTGCTCACTGGCTTGTGGCGCAAGCCTTGGACTGCCAGTCCTGGTAATGGCCTGGCGAGAAGAGGTGAGCTGCAGGGGTTGCAAAGGCAAGAGCTAGGGCCTAATGTCCCCTTTGTGCCCTGCATGGAGTTCAAAGCCACATTCGGTGGTGCCACAGTCCTATGGGGCCAGCCTCTCCAATACTATAGCCCTGGCCTCTGCCCTGTCTACCTCCGCAAGTTGGCAATGGCTTTTCTCAGGAGCCTGAGAAATATACTTTGCACACATAGGTCACACCAGGGCCTGGACAAGAAGCTGGAATCCCAGGCTTCAGAATTCTAGGCACAAGGTTCAGCTGCTCTGTCCTCCAGCTTGTGAACCTCTGAGATTTACAAGGGAGGGTGGAGAAAGAAGGCACTGAGAAGTAAGTGGACCAGTGAGATGAGTTCAGCCCTTCCCTGGGTGGGATTTGAACCTGAGTCTCTCCCTGACTCTTCTGGGCTCAGTAGATCCCCCCTGTTCTGATGCCTGCCCAGCTCCCTCTTTGCTCACCAACCACCTGTATCTACTAAATGAGAAAAAGGAAATAAGCAAACTGTCCCTCATCCCTGAACCAACAGCAGCTTTCTTCCTGGAGGGTTAGGATGCCCCCCACCCAAAGTCTTAGATCTGGGCCTAGAAGATAAAGGGGAGGGCTCTGAGTCAAAGCCTGTATCTCTCCAAGCCCACCCCACCTCTGAATGAGACTGTAGTGGCGTTGTCCCTCAGCTCCCCTCTGCTTTGGCTTCAGAGGGTCCTCCCCGTCTTCCAGATGGGGACGTTAGTGGTGGAGATAGGCATCCAGCCAGAGTTGCCCCGACTCCTTCAGTGAGCTGCAGAGACAAAAGAGAGCAATGCGTGAGACCATAGAGCTGAGCCTGAGAGCTAGCCCACCCACCAGTCCACTTGAAGGCTTTCCTCCCCTTCCATTCGGAGACGCATGGCTTGGTAAGCAGCGCTGGGGTGAGCTCCAGTGAGAGCAAAGGCCTGACCCGGCCACAAGAGCAAGAGTGCCTGGCCACTACCACAGCGACCTCCATTCCAGGGGACTGGGAGAACTTGCGGTGGCTCAGCAGCCCACACTTACCACCCATCCCACTGCCTCTGCCCCCCTGGCTGCCTCCCTCCCAGCCATCTTCCTGGCTCAGACGCTCACCGGATGATGTCTGCAAAGGCCGAGAGCAGGGGCTTGCACTGGTACTTGATGCCGTGCTTGACACACAGGGACTGCACCAGGGGGGCCACTTTGTGGTAGTTGTGTCGAGGCATCGTGGGGAAGAGGCTTCAGGGAGGACAGGGGAGTCAGCGGCTCTTGCTGGTTGCTCCTCACTCCCCCAGGCTGAGACACCCCCACCTCAGGACCCTGCTTCCCAGGGCCCCCTACTCACTGGTGTTCAATCTGGAAATTGAGATGTCCACTGAACCAGTCATTGAAGAAGGACTTGTGAACGTTGCATGTTGCCAGAAGCTGAAGGGAAAGGTCAAGGGAGTGTGTGTGTGGACATCAGGTGGAAAGGCCAGCCAGGAAAAGCTTGGGGAGAGCGCCCCTGGCCGGTGCCTTCATGTGGCAGCAGGAACGAAGCCTCAAGCTGAAGCAGCCCTATTTGGGGTCTTTTTTTTTTTCTCTCCCTGTTACTGCCTCCCTCCTCCCCTCCTATGCCTGTGCCCACCCACCCTTTCATTAGTTATGTACGTCCAGGTCTTCCAGGTGACCTTGCCTTACCTGGGTGGTGAACCAGTCCCTGTTGCGATCATGATCAATATGCATGGGGATGTGGTTCATCTGTGTCACCCATACAAACCAGTTGCTTTCCAGGAACCTGGTGGGTGTGGCCAAGACAGAAACTCCATGCACAGCCAAGGCTCTCCCCGCTCAGGTCACCGCTCTGCCCTGTCTGCCTTCCACTGCCAGCACCTGAAACGCCCCTGCTACCAAAGACCAGACTGGTTCCTCCCACACTTCTGGCTTCCCATCAACCCCTTCTCTCCCATCAGATCCTACCTGACCATAAAGAAAAGACCCAGGAAGCCTTTCAGTCCCAACAGTGGCATGTAAGTGAGGGCGATGCGGACGTAGAAGGTGACCATCCAGGCCAAGTCCTGCAGGGAGGAAGGCAGAGGGCTTGGTTCCTGCACAAAGCTACCCTCTCCCTTCAACTCTGCCTACTGCAGCCCTTCTCCCAGGCACCCGGACTGGAACACTTGTTCCTCTTCACCTTCCCTCCCATAGGGTGACAGTGCCCCTGTCTCCTTGTCTTCATTCCTAATGGCACCACCCCAGCCCTCCTTGCCTGTTGCTTTCAGAGGTACCCAGGCCTACCAGGTTTCCCTGCCTCCAGCTTCTCACCTACCATCTAAATCCTTCAATGCTTTTTTTTTTTTTTTTAATTAGGATTTGGGTGAAGATTTACAGAGTAAATTCACTTTTCATACAGCAGTTCACATATACTTTGTCTCATGTCATTGACCAAAATTTACAATGCAGCAGCTCCCCTCCCACTTCCTCCCCATAGTTACCTCCTCCCAGTGTCCATCCCTTCATACTCTTCTGCACCCTGAGCTATCTCCCTGTGCATAAGCAGCCCTTCCTTCTCCCATGATTGTTCTCTCCAGGGCGTGTGTCTACTCCTTCAATGCTTTTTAATGCAGCCAACAGAAACATCCAGACCATGGTACGGTCTATGCCAGTGCCCTGAGCAAATCTCCCAACACTTCTCTGTATGCTGAACCAAGCACCCTACTCTTGCCTACCCTGGAGCCCACTACAACACGTCCACTGGTCACACTTGCCCCTCACTTTCCAGCTTCTCTGCTTGGAGTCTGTCTCCCCCTGACCCTCCTCTGCCTGTCCTCCAAAGCCAGCCAGGAAGCTGCCTTCACTAAGCCTTTTCTGCTTTCCCGGCCAGGTGCAGCCAGGCCCTTTGTGGAACCTCCAGAACCTTCTGCCTGTACCTCGTCTCTTTTACCAGCCACACTGTCTTTCAGCAGAAGTGTCTGAGAGTAGGCATAGTCTCTTATTCACGCCTTGTCCCCAGTGCCTGGCACTGCCCGGCAGAGAGCCTTAGGAGGTACTGGCTGAATGACATTAGGCGTTGAAAGGCAGGTTGCCTGCTGGGCCCAAATCATTTCATACACGAGACAGGGAGTATCTATACCTGGTTCTCCAGGAATTGAGATCTACCTGACGGCAACTGGTTTGGTTTGGTTTAATACCCAGCTCCACGGTTTTGCTCTGCATCAGGGCTTTGTAACTCCCCTGGACAGCCCCCTTTCCCTCCATCGGGGCCCTTGGAGACCAAGCATGTGGGCCTCTTGTGCCACGGATACTCACCACCCATTTCTTCCGCTGGACAACGAAATAGAAAATATACCACTGGAAGTAGAGAGGCAGCAAGGCTGGAGGCCCAACTGGGGAGGAAACGGAGGCAGGGGAGGGGTGAGCAGTCGGAGGGGCACTATCAGCCGGGCGGGGCTGGAGACACAGCCTCAAGCATGGGGCTGCCTCACCAGCCCCTCCTGTCCCCCTTCGGCTGCCTTAGTGCGCCTCAGTCTGTGGGGACGGTCAGCATTGAAAGTGAGGGGGAATGTGAGTCTGAGAAGGCAAAGGTCCCCAGAGGATGCCAGGGAGGGTGAGGGGCGGGAGTGGCATTCTTTTCCTGTGGAGGAGGGCGCATACAACCTGTCTCTTCCACACCTCTGCAGGGCACTGCCAGAACCCCACATGGCCCTAGCCTTCCTTCCTGCCGGGCCTAGGCTTGGCCCTGCAACGCCCCGCCCTGTGCCCCTGGCTGGCTGACCGTGCAGCTCCCTCCACAGGTGCAGCAGGAAAGCAGGTCAAAGGGCGCCCGGCTGATGGTCTACGTGCTGAGCAGCTCACTTCCTTGCACTCAAGAGGTGAACTTGTGCTGCTGCAACGGGAAGCCCTAGAGGCAGGCTGTGGGAAGGTGCGGAAGGGCTGCTTCGGGAAGACAACTGGGAATTTAAGAGCTGACTGCGGCCTCCGTGCTGCCCCGTGCCCCTCCCTGCATCCCTTCATTGTCCCCTTCCTTACAACACCCACCCGTGGCTGCTCTGCTCCGACTGACATGGAATCTACAATCCACCCCCTACACATCCACAGTCCTCCATTGGAATGGTTGGCCACGAGCAGTTGGGATAAAGCCATCCCAACTAAAATGAGATCAATCAGCAGAATCCCTCTCTCCCTTCTTTGGGAAGGGTGTCTGAAATTTTAAAGGAGTTTTTTAAACTCAACTTTTAGGCATTATGGAACAAACTTTTAAAGCAGGGAATATAGAGTTGTCTTCAGAAAGCACTTCAGATGACCATAGATGACTGCCTTCTCTCCCTCCAACAGCTTTTCTGTTCGCTGGTAGGGTCCAACCGTCGTATAGCTTTCTGTTCCTTTCTTTGTTCCCCTGGGGGGTTGCACTGGCCCTCAATGGGTCACCTTGGCCCAGGTCTGTTTGCCCAGGTTTAAGATTTTATCACTGATCATGCATTTCCTTCATTGGAGCTAGGATGGCATTAGAGGAACCAGTCTGTCTTGAACACAAATGAACTTTAACCAAAGAGCCAATCTGGTGACTTTGCTCACTGGGGATGACAGATGCTCCCATACAGGGGGTACTGGGTGGGGGTGGGCTACTTCCTCCAGCCCCCTTAATACCTAAACCTTTCTAGAGCCTTCAGCACCCCTACCCCCACTCCAAGGCAGCCCCCCCATTCTCACCCCAAGGCAGCCCCCTTACGCTGGATGAGGACACTCACTCAGGAAGAAGTATTTGTGCTGGTGGTTGTATGGCATGTACTTTTTCTTCTGTTTCCCAAGCTGTGAATAAAAGCAAACAAATCAACATGCACGGGGCAGCAGTCACTCATCCCCCCCATGACCTTGGCTTTCTCCTGTTAGGAGTCCACTCCAGGGGCTGTCAGCTTGTTGGTGCTACTGGAAGGCTCCAGTAGGCCCAGTCTAGACTCCAGCACAGGGGGCATAAAGCCCTGGGCTGTGATCTGGCTGAGTGCACCATGCCACGGCATGCAGCCATGGCCCCCACCCCCACGAGGCAGTCACAACATGGTCTACAGGTTCCTTATGTTCACCCAAAGGCACTTTGTCCCAAAGTGTCCACGCCCCACCTCCTTCTCCCCTTGGTAGTCGTTTTTGAGGTCTCCATGGACAACTGTTCCTGCCCTCTACAGTCAGCTCCTGATCCTCCCCATCAGAAAAAAAAACCTTTTTTTTCTTCTTGACTTCAACACATGAGTAGCCATCTAAGACAGAACTATTGGTCTCTCCCTTTTCGGAGCAAACAAGAGTGAAGAAAATCAAAGTCTCAAGGAAACAATCATCCAAAAGACTAATGGACCACACGAAGCACAGCCTCCACTAGCCAGAGATCAGAAGAACTAGATGGTGCCCAGCTACCACCACTGACCACTCGATCAAGGTAACAGAAGGTCCTAGACAGAGTGAGAGAAAAACGTAGAACAAAATTCAGAATCATAAAAAAGATCAGACTTAATAGTGTGATAGAAACTGATGGAACCCCAAAAACTATGGCCCTCAGATACCCTTCAAGCCTGGAATTGACCACCACCCCTCCCCACCCCCCTGAGGATCATCTTGAAGCCAAACAACAGGCCTGTTTAGTGAACAATGACACGAGGAACGTGCCCCTCAGAACAATCACACGAGACCAATGGCAGCGTTTGCCAAGAAACAAAAGTTCAGAAGCTGGAAGGGGCAGGGAAGAAGGATGGAAGGAAAGAAACGGAGAACCCAGGAAGGAAGTGGGAAGAGTGCTGTGACATCGAGGGATTACAACCAATGTCACGAAACAAAATGTGTACGAATGGTTCTGTGGAAAAGTAACACACTGTAAACTTTCACCCAGATGACAATAAAATGTTCAAAAACAGAAGTGTTACTAATTACTAAGAGCTTTATGCCAGTAAATGCACTGCTTGCAACGCACCCACCCAAGCCACCCACTGAGCGGCCAGGGCTGGGTCACTGTCTGCACAGTGTTCACCATGTTACACATGAATTAAGTCCATGCTGAAACTCACTGCCATCAAGTCGATTCCAACTCACAGTGACCCTACAGGGCAAAGTTCAACTGTCCCATAGAGTTTCCAAGGCTGTAAATCTTTACAGAAGCAGATGGCCTCACCTTTGTTCTGCTGAACGGCTGGTGGGTTTGAACTCTCGACCTTTTGGTTAGCAGCTCAGTGCTTTAACAGCACCATCAGAGCTCTATTGTGGTTTGAGTGAAAGTTTACAGAGCAAATTAGTCCATGCTTCAAAAAAACCAAACCCACTGCCATCAAGTCAATTTTGACTCATAGCAACCTCCTTTGTGTTTCCAGCCGCTCCTCGGAGGGAAGGTTGGGCAATCTACTTCTGTAGTGATACTGCCTGGGAAACCCGAGGGGTCACTATGAGTTGATCAACTCCACCGCATTGCATTTTTTTTTTTTTTTTTTTTTTTTTTTGAC